CACCTGCAGATTTTTGTTCAATTACACATATGTGTATGTATTACAGTTACAGTTCTCTAAATTATAGCAAGAAGCTTGATATTCTGTTTATAAGAAAAAGGTTTAAATTATTTTCAAATAGGGATAATAATAATATGACAAGTAACTAGATAGTACTAATTATCCCGTCTCCTCTAAGTAGGCTACTTTCCCGGAAATCTTTTCACAAAATCCAAAATAAAAAAATATATCGAGCATCATCAAAAAAAGTAAAACCTGCTCTGAGACAGTACAACAACATCTTGGAGCCTTCATGAATCAAAACGCAATGTCAAACACAATCAAAGAAATACAATTCGAGGATGTAGAAAGATATTCAAATAAGAACAAAAACAATGTCAAACACAATCAAAGAAATACAATTCGAGGATGTAGAAAGATATTCAAATAAGAAAGGAAAACAGCATAAACATAGCAACAACAAAAGTTTGAACAACTACAAAACCGGACATTCAAAATTAAACGTGAAATTTCATGAAACAAGAAATATGTACCATCTACCAAATAATACACACTCTGTAATAAGTAATATGAACCATATCATGACTAAAACATCTTGTAAAAACAGTGGTCTCATTAAATCTCAATGTTAGTTGATTAAAAAGCACATCATGGAAATGGAATTCATCATTTGCATGGAACACCGGTTAATAATGCGAAAGATTTTTTTTTCCAACGTCACCGAAATTTCTTTCTTAACAATAAGACAGAAGTTAGTACAATTATACTCTCAGTTCATGCTTTTATTCAAAACATGTTCTCTTCAATATCTTTACCTTTTAGCAGGCCGTTGTTTTCAAACATGTGTATGGTTTTAAAACAAACATATTTAACATAAAACATATTTTGTGCATGATTTTCACAAATTTGCATAAAAGAGGGAAAAAATTAGCTTTTGCATATTTTAGAAACGATTAAACATGGAAGAGAATGCTTCCAATTGCTAAAAACAGGCCTTCCGAAGAGAAGTCTTAGAGCACATCTTTTTAACCACATTTTAGAGCATACCTTTATACTTTATACTTTATGGTGTTCCGTGAACCTGTGGAAAGGGGTGCAACCATCTCATGTCTGAGATCTATTTTAGTGGTTACTGTTGTTATCTCATTGGAGGGGGGGATTGGGGGGTCACTTCCATCGATAACGTGCTAAACCGGGACCGTTTGTAAAGGATTCCCTGACAGCAGTTATATCTCTTGTTTGTTTTGGGTAGAGGTTTTACGGCGCTCGCAACTGCATAGGGTCATATGAGCGCCAAGGGGTGGATGTCAACAGAGAAGTCTTTATAGAGAATCAGACTTACTCTGCTCACCCCTCCAGCTTTAACAGCACAAAGTCTGCTTCGACTATCAAGGCACCAAGGAAATAGCAGGTCATAAGAGTGTGACAAACATACAAAAGAAGTAGAGGAAAATGACAATAGAAAGGATTAGGAAAGAAAAAGCAGCAGTTCCCTGTTGCAGTTCAGGCACAGTTATGAGCATGACATTGTTGAATCAACCCATTTACAATTCTACTGAGCAGAAGAGAACAAGTTAACGTTCCCCCTTTGGGAATGTCCTAAATACACTTCAGTCAGTAGCACTGCCCGGGGAGGGGGGAGGGAGGAGAGGGGAGTTACATCTCTGCAAAGGCCTTGAAGAAAGAGTGGTGGAAAACAGCAGAAAGACGGACTCACTATACAAATGTGTACTAACATAGGAATAGATAAGCGGAAACTGTTGGTGATTGTCATTTACAGGGAAGAGCACCCAGCCACGTGGCTTTTCAAGCAACCACTCCTGCCCCTGTCATCCATTGCAACTCCGCAGCTATGCTTGAATGACATCAGACATTCTGTGAGGCTTTTCTATAGAGTAGAGTGATTTTTTTAAACAAGTAAATTACAATTTCTTCAAGTGCAGCTGATCCCTTGAATAAATCAATAATCCTACTTAAGGCCTAGCCAGTGTTTTACAACATTCATGGGTGTTGCACATCATATTCATAGGCCTACCTATAAACATTACAGTCATCCAAAACACAAGTGAGAAACCGCTCAAAGTCAAAGACAGTTTTCAAGTGACCAATCAAAAGACATTTCAGTCACCCCCCCACCCCCCCACCCCAAATTTTTTTTTTTTTAAATTGCTCGCCCAGTGCTATGGGTCCATAGGGTGTGAACACCTGTCCATCACTTTCATTGTGTGGCACAAGGAGCAGCCTTGCCAAATACCCCGTTGTCTAGACGATGATTGGGTGATTACATTTCCAAGTTTCTTTTGGACGCCGCTGTATAATTTAAATTTCTATGTATACCTGCATGTGTTTTTACGGCCCTGTACAGCCAAGAAATCTTTCCCTCGAGGATAATAAAGTATTATCCTTTCTTATTTTATCTTATCTTATCTTTGTTATCATGTATAAGTTGTTGCAGAGATTTCCTTCTGTCAAACTTTTCCTGTCTGCATGTTTCACGGTGCTGAGCATCATGTATTTAGAGGGAGTGATAATGTGTTTGTACATATCTACATCAATCATATTATAGCAAAAAACCTGTCACAAGATGAAAACATACATTTGAGAGGAGCACGTCTTTGTATAGCAGGAATATATGAGGAGACTACTTATAATATGGAATGCACCTCACCTTCAAGCTACTCAACCCCACAGCAGAAGTTCAAAACTTTGTGGGAGGAGCAGAAGGCTATGGAATCAACCATTGCTTGGAACCGTCAGCATCTACACACTTTGAGATGTGCTTCTTCAGGGGACGGAGTGCTTATGGGGATGCCCCTTGTGCAGTGATGTCGGTCCTTCACACAAGTAAACCCCACTGAGGAGACATTTTCATTTTACACAAGAGCTGATATCTACGTAGAAACTACATATCATCAGATTAACTTTGATCAGTCAACTGAAGCAGTATAGCCTTCTTCGTGCTGGTTGCAAGACCTAGACAAGCGATGCACTTCACGACAATACAGCCATAAGCTGACAAAACGCCTTTATCCATCTGTCCCCGTGGTTTTATGCACCCCGCATATATTAGCCAAATTTGATCATTTTTTGCATAATTTCTGATTATTTTCCTTTATCATTCTTTGTTAAAATTAACGGAATCGCATAATTTCACATTTTTGGGCTCAGTTTGCATATATTCAGAATTTTTCTTGCATAATTACTAAAACGACGGGGACAGATTCATTTGACGCCAACATTTTTTATTTGCTAAATCAAAAGCACAATCAGCAGTTACTCTACTTGTAAGAAGAAAAAAAAGTGAAACTGTGACTTGTTTTTCAATAATTTAGAATTCAAATTTTTGAAGAATGCTATTTTAAAATGGTTACGTTGATACAAAGAAAACCCCTCTTTTTCCTGAAACTGCTGTGAATTTTTAAAAAGGCGCAACAGTCCGACAATATGTCCGTTCCGCACTGTCAGCACAATTCTCCGCCACCATGAAGGAGTACCTCATATATTACATGTGTATAATCTCAAAACTTCAGGTGAGCATCATGGTAAGATTTGTTGCTGTTCAGCACTAGACACATTACTACACATATCAAGACAGTTGATCCATCAAGACAAATTAGCATCATTAAGGCACATTACACATCAAAAAATCGTAGCCTCAAATGTCATCATAGAAAAGAAAAAAACACCAACACTTACCGCTGTCGGAATAGTTCTATCCAGAAAACTATTACATTCAATACCGCATGTCGTAAAGCTCTTCAAAAGACAAAGAAATTGTGCAATAAATGTACCTCTTGACAACAAAGGCTCCACATTGGAATGCAGCATTTTTACATCCATTCATTCCGTTCAAACGACAACACTTTTTGTATCAACACACAGTTCTTATATCTAATACATAAATATTTCTTACTACTGAACACACAAGAATTTAAAACATTTATTGTGAAGATTCTGCTTGTACGAAAACTTGCAAATAAACTAAAACAACAGCCTCAGATAAATAAGAATGCAATCTAATTTACAGAGGAAATTACCAGAAACAAGAAGTTAACGATAAAAATATGCATAATATGGAACCAACTTCTCACAGTACTTACACAAAATAAATGAATTATTGCTTGCTGTGAACAGCAATTTTGACAAGCAAGTGTCACAAGTGTCAGTGATGAACGTTAAAGACTATCAAAAAATTGGAACACAAAATTCCATCCACTAAGTAAAATGCAATAAATAAACAGATCATGCGTGTTAAAGGAATGAGTCATGAGCATGAAGGAACAAAGTAGGAAGAGTTTGTTGAGTGGAAGAGCTGGAAGTTATCAGCCGCTAAAAACTTTTAAATAGGGATGACTCGTCAATCATGAAACTTGATATGTTATGAACGCTGAATGGAAGGAATTAAGGCTTGAAAAGCCATTTGTTGAAATGCCTTCTGGTTGTCCCAGAAACATTCATTAGAATAAATAGTGCAGGATAAATATATTACTGTCCCACTTATGTAACAATTATATCAAAGGGCAAACTGTGTTGTAAAGATTCAGATCTAACCTTGTAAGCAATTAACAACAGCTTTGAGATATGTTGAAAAGCTTTCGTCGAGAAATATTATGTATGTAGCTTGAAATATCAGTTTATAAAAAGGATCCAATCCACCACATATTTTCTAAACACAATAAAACGATAGTAGAAAGTAATTGTATGTGATGGACTGTACTGTGCTGTACAGTTAGTGAGTTTCCTTTTAATTTAAGTTAAAAAGATGAACTGTTCTGATTAAAGAAAATGAAAACATTAAAAACTTAAAGGGTACAACAGTCATAAGGTAAAAGATGTCAGTAAGCTTATGAGGAGCTTATGTAGCATACATACTTTCAGCCAAAAATCTTTAAAGTTTCCAAGGACGGAAATATTCTTTAGAATCGCAAATTCTCTACCATGCCTCCTTCAATCACCACCACAGGAGGTGTAAATGCAGCAATAGTCTAAAAGCCCAATCATTTTTCTTTCTTTAAAATTAAAATGTCTAGAAATTCTGTGCCTCTAACAAACCAAGCTTCCATTCATTTCACACCAACACAGTATGGTACATTTAGGATATCAAAGATAATTCAATATCTGGATTACAGCCACACGTAAAACATACAACAAATTATTAAACAATTTTATCGTGGGCCAACATCATCATCTCTACAAATCGACGTCATGGCATAGTCTGAAATCTCTACTCATCAGACGATTTTCCATGAGTGAACAACATGACCACATGTCTTTCAAATCTAAAACTAAAAATACCAAAATGATTTCACGATGAGCCGACATTGCAGACCCTCATATATCTCTCAGCTCATCTGATGATTTGTCATAGACTGAAGTGCGACCGCGTCCTCCTCCATCAAGTCCTTGTCTTTTTTGTTGAGGACATGGCCCTCTGTAACATCGTGCAAGGCATCGGGCAACAGGCAGTTGTGAGTCTCCGGCAGAACCAGCACGCAGACAGCTGCTATGCCAGCTAACACTCCAAAGATGATAATGGCATCAAAGCCAACAACTGTCTTTGCCTGTAAATTGTACCCAAAAAAAAGTTATCAAAAAATGTCTATAAATCATATTTGTCACAGATAATAAGTAATATAATATGCTTAAAGATATTCTAAGCATAAAAGTAGCAGTTTAATGTGGGTTGAAGGTAACAAATAATATTCTGACTTATTATATGTCAAAGATCACGTGAAATACTCTGATAACATCTGAAGATAATCAGTAAAATTGAGACAGTAATAGGCTATATCAAAGATAATGGGTGATACTCCAATGTGGGCTCTTTTGGTCATCAACTAGTTTAAATAGGTTCCAAAACATTTTCAGCACAAAAAATGTCCAGAGGAGTTGAAGTACTTTAAACTCTACAAACTTTCCCTAGAATAAAAAAACTGGATTTTATAAATTATTATATATGTCCTCCATCGTTTTATGCAAGAAAAATTCTGAAATTATGCAAACTGAGCCCAAAAATGTGAAATTATGCGATTCTGTTAGTTCTAACAAAGAATGATAAAGGAAAAGATAAGAAATTATGCAAAAAATGGTCGAATTTTGCTAAATTATGCGGGGTGCATAAAACCACGGGGAAAGTCATATACAATAAAAGGAAACAATAAAAACGTTTCTAATTCGTCTTGTTACAAGAATTGGCATCAGCCAGAACTGATTTCATCTGAACCATTTGGACCCTGCACTTCACGATTTACAAATAGATCAAAGACTTTTAACCAACATAATGCTGGCACCATGTGTTGTAGGACTAAAGTGTTGAAAAACCAGGAAAGATTGAGAGAGAGTTTGACTTGAATTTGTGTCACCACACTGGAATCAGGCCCTCGTCAATTTTGGGGCATATACAGTTATTGGTATCATCTTAAAGCCTCTCCATTTACCTTGCTTTAGATTTTAAAAACTATCCATTTATCATGAATACAAGTCAAGCTGTTGCGATTGAAGGAGGTGGGGTTGCCTGGTTTCAGAGGTAAAATAAGCAAGAAAATGGCAGCCAAAATTTTGTTATTTCCTTAGCTGGAGAGTCCGCGGAAAATGAAAACTTACATCCTTTATGCCTTTAATCAACGTTTTTCAGTAAAATCCACACAGAAATGTGTTCTTTATTGGGCATGAAAGGTGTTGAGCCAAAAAACAAATATTTGATAAAAATTCCCAATCCTGCGAAAAAAATGCAGTTTCTTGACTTTCATTATTTTGACGAGCGCCTGATTTCACCACGCTGCCTCACATTTGTTTAGAGACACAACTGAGAAAAAAGTCCACTTACCCATTGGTTAACTTGAGGAGCTAAAACTCCGCCTAGGCGAGCCCAGAAGCAGCAAAAGCCCATGCCAATATTTCTGAAAAAAAATAATCCATCAGCAAGACTGAACATTTGAAAGAATTTAATATGATCAATCGAAAAATTCCAAAAATGACTTCTTACTACAGTTGGGTTAAACATGTCTCAGAAAGCAGGTGAACGGTCAATACATTCAGCCGTAGTAATAATAATAATAAATTGCATTTATAAAGCGCATTTCCACAAAGAAGTGCTCAATGCGCTGTACAATAATACAAAGAACACAAGTAGCGCACAGCTCCTATAGTAATCCTCTTTCTCTGTCTGTCTGTCTGTCTGTCTGTCTGTCTGTCTGTCTGTCTGTCTGTCTGTCTCTCTCCAGTATATCCTTGAGTAAAGACAATCCCACAAAGCTTACCCAGACAACCTAACACACATTGATGAATTCACACAGTCATAAATTCTTACAGAACAGAACAGCATGAATAAACGATACTGAGAGAACATAATAGATACTGAGAGAACATAATAGATACTGAGAGAACATAATAGATACTGAGAGAACATAATAGATACAGAGAGAACATAATAGATACTGAGAGAACATAATAATATTTGTGTTGTACTGCTGAAGAAAATACTCAAAGAATCCTTCCACCAAAGAACCCACAACCTTGAGTTCAAAGTGCGAAGTTGGAACATTTTTCTCCAGGAGTCTCATATATGTGATTTCTGTCCAGTCAGCATAATAATAACACATTATTTTGAAGCTCAGACTCAGACTTGCAACAGAAAAATCCTTCTGCATCAGTAGAAATAAAATATACTTTATAAAGAAAATAGATTGTTTTTTAACTTCCTCACGAAAAGTAGACAGTTTGAAGCTTCAACAGGAGTTTGTATATCTGTAACCTCAAGAATTCACTTGAAATGCAAATATACGTCGTGTTTTACTAACGTAACCATACGAAGTGGGCAACTCTGTTCCGTCACTTTCCAAAGAGGAAATTTACTCGTTAGTCCCGTCCGTACGCTTTGCATAGAAGTCTGTAAAAATTATTTTTTGAGAAATACTGAAAGTTTCAAAGAGATCTTTGTACTAGAAGTATTCTAAAAAGTGAAGAATACAACCCCGGGGGTACAAAATGACCCCAAGGCGTACGGATAGGGTTAACAAAACGTAGATGATTAAGGAGACTGGTTTTTTTTTTCAATCCTGTATTATCAGGGGCAATTCACAGCCTAGGGCATGGAAATCAGATTCCTAGCAAAAAGAGTGACACACACAGTGCAATACATACTACAACAGAAATCAAACTCACATCTTTCACATGAAAGGCGAAGAGACTTATAAATACCCCGGACGCCAACATAACTCACCGTATAAGAGTAGGGAAAAGCTCCGATGAGAATACAAAAATGATGGCAAAGAGGAAGGCAGTTGCACATCTGCCTGCCAGAGCCAGCGCAATGATTAAGTAGGTCAGTCCTGGGAAGAGAGACAACAGAGGGATGAGTACCACATAGATCTACACCCGGAACAAGAAAACACTGCATGCTTTAAAAAACACATTTTGTCAGTAAATTTTTCTGAAATCTCCTTTTACCGCCTAGCACTCTTTTCACTAAAATGAGAACAATAACTTGCCTAAACAACAACCCAACTAGCTTGCTAGCCCATTCCATTTTACTATCTATAAGTCCCCAAGAGCCTAAGAGACATTTAACATGACATCCTCTCTCTCTCTCTCTCTGTCTGTCTCTCTCTCTCTCTCTCTCTCTCCCTCTCTTTCTCTCTCTCTGCCTCTCTCTGTCTCCCTGTCTCTCTGTCGCCCTCCCTCTCCCCCTCTCTTACCCTGAGGATTCCAACCCATCGCTTTCTTTGTTATGCAGCTGCCTAGCTTCTTGAAAGTATGTCCAATCCATTGCCATCTAAAATTTACCCACTACAAAATATGTAAGGAATCGTAGTGAAATGGTAATTGTTTACTTTTGGTAGGTGTTTTACAGCACTTGCAACACAATAAGGTCATATAAGTGCTAACGGTTAGAGGAGTCACTAGAGAGTAACAAACATTAAAAAAAGGAGGAGAAATAAGGACGATAGATGTTTGACAGGACGGAAGGAGCAAACCAGACCACAGCACCTGCCAACCACCCACTAAAGCGAGAATCTTGAGAACTACTGACCAGAAGAGTGATCATTGAGGAGGCCGGCTGCCAGGCACGTGACACACGCACACAGCAAACACACAAGGAGAGGTTTCTTCCTCCCAAAACTGTGGAAAAAACATTCACTTGACATTTGAGGGCCAGTCCCCAAGACAAAGTATTGGTCACACACACAACAACTTGGCTTGTTTCATAAGAGCATGCATAAGAATAACATTGAGTTACAGTCAGAATACAGAGTATGTATCTAGCTTAAGATTTTATCATTATTTATATTACAGATTGACAGAAAAAAGGTGGAATTCTGGTGGCAAAGTACAGGCTCTTATTTCTCCGCAAAGTATCAAGTCATTATCTATTATAGTACTTGAAAAATAAGCATTCAAACTTCGTATAACAAATATAGGCGTGAATAGCTTAGAGGGGCCCGGTAGTCTGAGGAGGTGAGGGCTCAAAAGGTTAACTCTTACAAGTTGTAGGCCCTAAGTCTATTCTCTGCTTTCTTACAGCAAGTTTACTTGAAAATAAATCTACCTTGGAATCCTGTTATGACGAGAGGGAGGGGACTGGTCCGATATGTCCGTTATAGCAGGATTTTCGTATAAGGGATCCAGTATTAAATTCAAGGGAAATAATAAAGTAGCTCTAATCAATGAGTTTGCTGTTCTGTTTATTTCTTTTTGTTATCTCCCCTGACGATGACTGTTCAACATGGCCTCTAAGTTTTCTTAGTTCATCAAAAATCGAATCAGGTTTCTTTCTCTAGCACTAGCAATGTTGTCAGCTTGGCATTGGTGATCAGAAAGAAATGGCTCTAGGCTAACTCGCCTGCTGTGTTGTCCCCCACCCCACCCAACCACACCTTGGGGTGCGTTCCGTCTGCTTGCCCATGTCACACATTCGGTCCATCCATCACAGCACTATGACCTCTCCATCCCCGCACCAGAGAAGAGAGAGGCATGGTAGGTCTAGATAATCTAGACTAAGCTGGCCTATCATGCGATGCGTTCTACTTGTCTGCGCATGCCACACCCTCCCCACTCATTCGCTCCGGCCTTCGTTGTTGGCACACGAGGGCTCTCCCATTCTTTGTTTTGCTAGATCTCCAACAAGTTTCTCAACTGACGAGGTTTTAACTATAATTTGTATAATTGGCCTCTGCGCTGTGCACAGCGGCAGTAATATTCCACTATAACCGACTTGCGTGTTTGTCTGATTGTGCTATAGCAGTATTTTATTTACAGAGATAAAGAAGGGAAAAAACAGGGTTTTAGAATAGTGTCTTTATAACAGACTTCTTGTTATTTCAGGTCTCGTTATAAGTGGACTCCACTGTACTGCTTTCTATATGACTCCGCCATACTTCATTTTGAAAAGTGATGTATGATGGAGTCTGACAGAGAGCAATCGATCATGAAAACGTTAGCATTTTCTGCATTTTAAAAACATAAGTTTCAGACTAAATATATATATGTGAAGTGTGCTGACAAAATGAGTTACTTCTCGGATTCAAGCCTTATGGAAGTAGAAACATCATGCTTATAAGCGAAGTTTTACAATTTATAAGTATGAAATAATAAGAGGAATGTTCTACATAAAAGTAGAGCATCAATAGAAGAACTACTAATTTGACCCCGGTGTTGATTTTGTGCCAATATCTCCTTCAGTGGACTGCGAGAAGTAACTCATTTTGTCAGCACGCCACACACAGATGTGCACAGAGTTGTAGTACAGGTAAGCAAATACTTCTGATTAAAGAGGAAAACGAGAAACTACAATAGTGCAGCATCTAGACAGTAGACTTGCCGGCGTCTAAGAGTGGACTACAGCAGCCTCATAACACTGCCTTTGAATTCAGCATAACAAACTCAACCACATGTTATTCAAAAATATATATATTGTATCTTATATTTAGGTCTCTCATTCTGTCATAAAACTTTTAAAAAATTATTATCCAAAAACACACAGCGTGCAACATCAGAAGCTTTTCTAACAAACCAGACCAGACCATCAATGATTTATTTATAGAGGCACCAGCCATCCATGTCCAGGTGCTGTTTTAGCCTCTTTTTCCTGTATTCAGATTAATAATATCTTTTTGCCAATTTATTGGTTCCGCTTCTATGTACCCTGTATCTATGGTTCTCAACCTGGAAATTGCCTATAATTCAAGTTGATAGTGATTTAAAACATGGGTCTCTACATCTTTTCTAACAAATGAACTATATGGACATAAGAAGCTGCCACCCTACTTTTCTAACCCCATTTGTACAGATGCATTTTTCTAATAAAACATCCTCAGCAATATTTTGGGGGGAACAATATTATTATGCTCGGCTGTAGAAGTGTTCAAGTTCTAAATAATACTTTTTGAAACACCAACCACTGCTCTAAATACTTTTCAAAACACCAACCACTGCTCTAAATACTTTTCAAAACATCAACCACTCCTCTAAATACTTTTCAAAACACCAACAACACATAATCTGGAACAACAATCTTTAGCCTTGTTAGAATAATTACCTTCGGAAACAACAAGCTGATGTATTACAATGAGAATGTGTGACTGATACTTGACTTACTATCGCATTACAGGCAGGCTCAGTATATAGCACACAGACTCTACAGCTCCTCCGATGAAGAAAGTCATATATTTGTTCCATTTGAAGACGGTCATCTTAAAAGTAAGCCCATAGTAAGTTGTAGATATAGTCAACCTGCAGGAAAGCAAATTAATAGATAGAAAAAAAAATAATACTTTAACATGTTTGACAGCGCAGCTGCACTAAATGATAGCTTGTTTCTTTTAGTAAGAGGTTTATGGAACTTGCAACACGATAAGGTCATATAAGTGCTGAAGATTAGAGGTATTTTGAGAGAGAAACAAACAAACAAAAAAAAGGAGAAGAAATAAGGACAACAGATGTTTGGTAGGAAAGAAGGAGCAAACTACACCAGAGCACCTGCCAATCGCCCACACAAGCTCATTCAACATACTACAATCCTTTGTTGTTGTTGTTGTTAGCAATCCACTAGCATCTGAGTGTTAACTCTTCTGCATGATGCCATTCGGTAATAGCTGCATGTCTGTTCTAATTGTTGTCTTGAGGAGTGGAGGCAATTAAATGTGTGGGGTAGCTTTCAAATCCTTTCAAATATGTATACACTCGTAATCTGACAAAAGAACAAATACACAAAAAAACGATCACTGTTGCTGCTAAAATAACAATCAAACGGGTTCGTAAAACATGACTGAAATAAATGTGTTTTTAAATAAATGTGTCTTATATAAACGTGTTATAAAATAAAGGTGTTCTTAAATAAATATGCGGGTTTTTTTTACCAGTTTTGATAGCACCAATACAATGTTCCACTCACCAAATAAAGAGCAGGGCAAAAGACCTCTTCCTCAGCTGTGATGTCTTGACCAGGTCAATCATTGTATGTTCTTTTTGCTCAGACCCTAGGTCCAACTTCATCGACGTTTCTTCCTTCAACTTCTGCCACTCTGCAGCTGGGAATGCCACCTGATCGAACGAGTCCAAAGTTTATTTTATGCAAAAGCATGGTCAAAACATCTGCTACACAAAGACAGAGAAACACAACTGCACATTTTAAGAAGTTTAGTTTAGTTTTAGAAAGAGTTTTAGTTAGTCAGTTTTAGTAGAGGGTTTAGCGGCGCTCGCATCTGCATAAGGTTATATGAGCGCCAAGGGGTGGGTGTCAACAGAGAAGTCTTTACAGGGAATCAGACTTGCTCTGCTCACCTCTCCAGCTTCAACAGCACAAAATCTGCTTCGACTATCAAGGCATCCCGGAAATAGCGGGTCACAAGAGTGTGACAAACACACAAAAGAAGTAGAGGAAAATGACAATAGTAAGGATTAGGAAAGAACAAGCAGCAGTTCCCTGTTGTAGATCAGGCACAGTTAAGAGTGTGACATGATGAATCAGCCCATTTACAATTCTACTGTGCATGAACGAGAAATGTCCCCCCTTTGGGAATGGCCTAAAGACACTATAGTCAGTGGCACTGCCACGGGGGGATGAAAGAGTTTTACAGCACTTGCAACACAATAAGGTCGTATAAGTGGCGAAGATTAGAGGTGTTACAAGAGAGTAACAAACGCAAAAAAAAGAAGGAAGAGAGATCAGGATGATAGATGTTCGAAGGGAAAGAAAGAGCAAAACACACCAGAGCACCTGCCAACCACCAACTAAGAACAAGCTTAGTTGACATGTGTTCCCATATAATATATGGCAGGGCTGACAAAGTACAAACACATCACAGTTAAAAGTTGTCAATCTTTACTTAGATTTCAAGAAAGCGAACTCAGTAGAGTTGAATCTGTTGTAACAGCTACCTGTCCAAGACAACCACCTATACAAACGACCAGTCATCATTCCTTTTCCTTCCCCCCCCCTCCTTCACCGTCTTTGTTTATATCATAATGACACTTTCCAAAACATCTACCTGTCTAAGACAACCACTTTTCTCCTTGACAACAGGTGACTGGACAATTTCAACTGTAATTACAGAGCAATTTTAAGTAGCACAGTCTGCAACCACAAACCTGATTTTTTTGACAAATCTTCCTGATTAAAGCCTCCGCTTTCTCAAACTTTCCTTTCATCAAAAGCCATCGTAGAGATTCTGGCACCACACTGAAAATGGAAAAATGCATCAAACAAAGATATTCAGGCATGTGTATTGCAACACGCAGAGATTCATAAGCACATAAAACGCTACACTTTTCACACCTTTTCTTTTTGTTGAGAGCAACTGGCCTCTGCAAAAACAAAAGTAATGAATTTGAGGCCATACTTGCAGCATGCACTCCTAGAATTCAGGGTTTGCAATAATGATCAACACATTAATTCTTTATCTCTGAGGGGGTAAACACACTATGCCAGGAGTCATCTTTTGGTATGAAATCTAAAATGGCATATACATATATAATATATATGTGGCGTCGGTGGCCTAGTGGTTAGGTTCTCGGACTCGCAACCGTAAGGTCGTGGGTTCGAATCCCGTCAGGG